ATGGGATGCCAGAAGGCGTGGAAGAAGCGCGAAACTCCCGTTGTTGGCACCTCTTGCTTAGGTGAAGCTGCCTGTGAACCCTGTACGAGACCTATCAGCGGCGGCCTTCTGAGCAAAGTTCACGCCGGAGCTCGGCCGCTTCTTCACTGCCTTGCGTACGTGAGCCTTTGCACGTGGCTTGGGCACCTGTGCGGCTGCAGGCATCATATCTTGGAGTCAGATGGAAATCCTGTGCTTACAGTGGGGATCAAGAGGGAACTTTAATTTCAAGAGCGTCGAACAATTCGGTGCTGACTCCAAAAACGACTCAAGATATCTCAACCATGAACAGTGAACAGCACTTGCCTCGGTGCCCGAGACAGCGACACTTGTGGAGGAGTCGGGCCCTGCTGTTGCTGGGGGTGCTGTGCTGGCTGCAGGGACTGCTGTGGGTTTTGCTATGGAGTTTGCTAAGTGCTCGTTCCTTGATGTGCCTGGGAAGTGCAATGGATCTGGTTTCTGCTGCTGCTCTTCAGTCTCATCCTTCCTATTCCATGTGCGTCTGCTTGGACCTCTGCCCGGTGGAACATAGATGCTGGATGCAGTGCTGGAATTCTCTGAAGGTTTGACTTCAGGCAGCTTGCTCCTTCGAAGGTGGCTCCTCAAACACTGTCCTGAAGTGGAGCACTGCAACGTCACACAGCAGGCTGCTTTCAGCGGCACACAGCTGCTGAAGCCTGCGTAGCTGCCTCGCAGCGCATCCCAAGCCACGGATGCATTTTGACCTCTGTCGACACCAGATGCTGGGCCTGCTGCTCGGACAGCTGAGCTCGGTGCAGTGACACAGTCCATCACCGCGTCGCTGCGCGCCGGGTGGACAGGGCACCAAGTGGCACGCACCTCATAAGCAGAGACAGCCTGCTTCAGAACAGCCTGCTATGAAGATCTTGGGGCGTGGCCATGCCAAACACGGTTTCCCCATGCATCCCAGGACATATGACCACCGGCCTTGTCAAGTTGAAGAGACCGTTCATGTCACTAGCAAATTCTAGCAGAATCAAAACAGAAACTTCTCAGCATCTTGCGTAACCATCACGACAAACACAGGCCAGGCGCGTCTTGATGATGCTGAGGTCGACTTTGTGGTAAACCTGAGGCAGCTTGGCAAAACAAACAGGCAACCAATGGGAGCCAGGCTTGACAAAGTGCAAGCTGTCTGAAACAGCTTTGCAAGATTTTAAGAGCCCTGCTGTGTTAGGCGGACAGTGGAAATCGGGAGAGCACCTGGCAATTCTGTGCGCATGGAAAATGAACCTGTCTGAGGCGTGTTGCCAGTATCACAAATCACGCTGCAAGCAGGGTACTGACCCGAATACGCAAGCTGTGTGGCATTCCATGTGACTTGGCTGCCGTTGTACGGTGGCCTGTGCGAAGCCCAACCGGATTGAACAATGCCGCTTCATGCACTCGAATCAGCTGAGCTCGTGTCTGACAATGACAAAGACCTGTCCTCTGTTCTCATGTAGAAAGCTGTACATCACAGGTAGCAGACATTCGGACAAAGGGCCCTGCTCAGCAATGTCAGCATGCGGAGGACATGCCAAACGTTCGCATTTGCCAAGCATACGCACCTGGCAGACAAAACGCAAGCATCAGCCATGATTGCCTGACTCACCTTGGTTGCACTGTGTCAGTGCTCATGCACAAGCTATGCTTCTGACATTGGCAGAGATCAGCGACTTCTCAGGCTCGTTGGAGTCATTGTTGGCTTGCTTGCTGTCAAACGCGATCATTCTGGCTCCCGCATGGCCAGGCGCACATGGATTCTTCTCGACACATTGACCTCCATTGGAGATGCTCATGTCAAGTTCGACGAATATTGCACTTTGCTGTCAGCACAGCGGATGACTATGAGAAAAGTGCCGGAGAAGCGCTTGATGTTCGGCTGCCAGACATATCCGCCAACCTGCGAAGCGGCCAATGCGAATGGAGAGTTAACCTCCAGATTGGCAGGTCCTTTCCACCCTCACAACGACATCGCGGACGGCGCACGCCGTCATCCAGCCAGTCCTTAGAGAGAGCACATCACCCTCTCTGAAGCGGTTGCACCAATAACCACCCCTAATGTAGTATGCAAACTCTAAGTTTCGCACTGATGCTCGAGATGATCCATTGGGACATGATTGAAGCTGGCAGAGTCCGTGATAGCTCGCGTCCTCGGTTTGCACGGATGCATCGGATTTTCCAATCTGTCGTCATAGGGTATTGCATGGTACGGCCGAGGCAGTGGCCCCAGCAAGTGATCCACCTGCAACATTTGGCGGCCATCTACGATTGGAGAGAAGTGCGAATTCTAAACCATTGCCGCCTTGATGCTCAGCTCGCCTGCAGAATACAAACGCCAGCAAGTACTGGAAGAGGTTGGAGCGACATGCCAAGCATGATGATACGCGGGCGGAAAGGCCTCCAAACGATGTGACCCACATGTGGAGGCTGACAGTAGCACTCCTTATCCGGCAAATTCGAAGACTTTCCTATCAGCTGCCGGAAGCTGCCACCAAGGCGCCCCTGCATACTCCCCAGGCATCGAATCATTCGGACACGGAGTTCGTGTGCAGGAACCGGAGTATTTGCCTACGATGACGAGTGCATGAAGAGCATTCTAGAATTGACGATCGCGTGCTGAATGTCCTCCTTCCAAAGCTTCCCAGCGCAACTGACCGGAGAAGCCGTAGCTGCAACGGCAGCCTGATGGGGGCCAAGTTGCGTTCTCATGGTAGTTTCCGGGCAAGACAGAGGTGCCAATAAAAACCGCATCATCCAAGCTCGCCAGGACAGAAACTTCAACAACTAAGAGTGAATGCAAAGTGACAGTCCAGTGTCGCTTTACCCTGACGAAAAGACGGACCAACACGACAAGGCCCTGCCTTCTGCCTGTCCTGCCAGTGCAAAGATGGATGAACCTGCACAACAGCGAACAGTGTCTTTTTGACATCTTCTTCTAATGCTTCATGTCATCCAAACCATCTCAGAGCAGCTGCACGCAGCACTCAACAGACGGCAGTGGCCATACGAACACGCGAGGTGAACGCAAAATCCGCCTGGTGGACAATGCTGTTTCGTGTCCTTCCTGTGCAAAGATTTATATGTCTCAACACGCCAGCGTTGGTGCGCCTTTTGTGGCTGTCCTGGAAGTCAATCCAGCCGTCGGACTAGCCGCCTCCTGGGTGCAAGCATCTCTGCGGAATGAAGCCAGGTTCTCGCTTGGGTGCTCAGCTCACTGGCCTGTGTTGAGGGTGCTGCAAGGCCTGAGCAATCTGCGTTGCACTTGGAGTATTCATCTGTCCAGCCCTTCAGCCCTTCCGACAGGGAGGAACAAATGCATGCGACGGGAACAGTATGTCTGCACTCAAGTTCAAGGGCACGGTACAGGCATATCAACAACACCACATTAGGTGGGTTGTCCCTACACCGGTCTGGATGCTTTCTCAACATCTGGCCTGTACGGCCAGCAGCACTGGCCACATTGTGGCGGCATGCGCTGTAAGGATGCTTCGGAAAAAGAAGCGCGAGTCGGACGAAAGAAGAGCCAGATGAAAGAGAGCATGAGTCAGGCGAGAGGGGCACGAGTCAGACGAAAGAAGGAGGGCAACCCGGGCAACCCTAGCAGAGACATTTGTTGAACCAGGCCAATTCGCATGCGAAGAGAACATCACAAGCACGACCACACCTGTTCATGGAGAGATATGCCACATGTAAGAACCGCTGTTCGCCTTATCATGAAAGGAGCACGGTGGCACCGTGCAATTCAAGTATACGCGTGTTCAAGGCAACGTGTTTGGCCTTGCAGGGAAACAGACATAGGGTGAAACAGCGAATGCAGCGACATTTGTTCAATCCAACCCCGCTAAGCCCGCAATTAAAGAGATGCAGTGACACTGCGGACTTTCAGCAGAAACATATGGAAAATTAATCTCTTCTTTCCCTTGCGGCCAGAGAACAGACAAATGTTCCAACCGCCACCTCTTCGTCATATTCTTCGCCTCACCACCAAACCCAAGCCTACAAAGGTCTGAAGATTAAACACCAAAGTGCAAGCGACAGTGGAGAACGTAAGGTGCAATTCCTGATCCGGAACTGCCATGCGCAACCTACAGAAGTCGGGCCAGTGGCTACTTGCTTGATGGCTTTTGTTCTTCAGAGTCTGTGGCCTTGCTGCACCCGATGCTATTCCCCATGTTGGGCACAAAGGAGGATGATATCGCCAAGTCGTCTTGTCGCGGATCCGGACCCCGGCCGCTTGAATTCAACACCCGCACTCGTACCAGGCAGCTCAGGAAACAACCCTGCCCTCGCATGCCAAGTCGATTTGTTGCGGGACTCTGCACAGCAGTCACTTAACCTGAACAACATCCAAATCGCACTGCTCACAGGACACATCAAGGCATTCAGAACACGGCTTTTAAGAGAACGGAGACGGATGCGCATTCAAAGCAAGCTGTCCAGCATGTTGCAAAAAAATCCATGCCTCGCCATACTGCAAATGACAGCAACACATAGGCCTCAATGTCACTTGGTATCCAGATTGGTTGGACGTACCATTATATGGTATTGCAAGTAAGTTCGGAACACAAAGCATTGGATCATCACGGCAATGGGCGCATGCGCAACAGGCAACTTCAAATCGTCTTGACGCATCTCTGCTGCAGTGGCATATGTTATCGTCCACTCAAAGTTCACTAGCTAGATGTAATCGGGCAAGCGCAGGCATTCCAGTTTGACTCAGAACGAAATAGCATCCAGATCGAGCAACGTCTGGAGTCTGAGAGCCTGTGGCAAGTGGTTCCTGCATGCGGCTCGATCCATGCAAAGCTTTGTACAATGTTTCATTCTATGCGGGCCGCTGCCGCAAAGCCTGTACAGGTATCAGCAACATCTGATCGCACACTCTCAGATCAGACGCGGGAGGCTCGAGCCGAACCGCCCAGCATGCCTAGCTCTCACTTTCTCGACTCTTAGCCTCATGGCACGTCGCCATCAGCTTGTGAAGGCCTTCTGGTTCGTGGCCTGGGAACTAGCTTCCTGTCCATCTAGATTAACATCTTGCAAGATCTGGGGATGAGGCCCTGGCTGCCGGTCAAACATTCCGCCTACAAACAGTACTGACCATCACCACGCTGCCCCAGTAAGGTTGAACATGGGTAAGATCCCAACAAGCGGAACTCGACTCATCCTGAGGCACTTTGAGTCCCCAAGCCAGGCTTCCAAGTGCCACAAGCTAAGCTGCGACCAGGAGGCGCATTGCCTTGACCTGAAACTCCGCAAGGCCTGCCATGGCTTTGTGAAAGCTCCAGATGTATTTGGCAAACATTGGTAGCCTAGCCTCCAGCCAATAAAACCATGGACCAGAGGTGTTTGACCACTCCTTCCAGACAGAAACACGCATAATGTGACAGTAGCATGTCTTGCCTTTCACTATTAGCAACTTTCCTCGCAGTCACCTCCTGTCAGAAGTGCAATCTCCCATCTTTGGATGCAGAAATGGGTAACTAATGGACATCAAAACCAAGGCCATTTAGACATGACTGAGAAACACGTGGACACACTACTAGCTTCAAGAACTGGACAAGTGCGAATTGCAAACCAAGATTCTGGCTCATCACCAGTGCGGCCCGTGGACGTAACAAGGGATGGTGGCACACCAGGAGCAAGTGGAGGAAGGCTGACTAAGTCTGGGGGCAGCAACGTGACACTGTCCCCACTCGGAGGGTGCTCTGAGGTCTCCTTTTCATGAAAATCCTGCACGTCATGCAACAAGTTGATAGACGCCAGTGGGACGCCAATGATATGCGTCAAAACCTCTTCGAGTGCTGCAGGTGAAGTCGAGCTTTCAGTCTGGGGGTCTACAGGTGCCTGACTCACATCTACGTCCATCAAGGACTCGGAAGGAGTGCCGTGTACGTCCTCCTCAGGCAGCTGCGTGGCCTGTGCGTTCAGCTCTTCAAGTTGAATCTCCCTCGGCCCGAGGGTCCTGGAATGTGCAGCGAAAGATGTCATCGCACGGCCACCAGCATTTCGACTCCCAGGGATACAACGCTCGCGACTCTTCGGTACCCAAGATGCAGTGTTACCAGACACACTCGCACTTGGCCAAATCAGCTGATGGTTTAGGCAGAAGGATAGGACAGACTTCTCAAGCTTCTCGTTGTTGTCCATGTGACGAAGCTGCACCGAACGGCATCCCTCTGCTGAGGAAGCTGCACCGCCAGAGTTTTCTGCAAGTATTGTCACATCCAAGCACCCGTATCTGCACCAGTCACCCAAATTTGGCGATGAATGCTGTAGTGATCCCAGGATGTCCAGTATGCTGCGTGCAGAATCTGGAAAGAAGAAGATAAGCAGTATGGGGCTCAGTATGACACCCAAAAGTTCCTCCACCAGGGCTTGAATGCGCTGAATTAAGAAGTCGCGAAGCAGCTCCTCGCAGACAAGCATCAACCAGGTGAGAGCTGCATCCGCTGACTCGTGTACAGTCTGCATGTCTAGATGTACAGCCCTTGCAATGCTGCCCTCAGGATTTCAAAACATGCAGCAGGTCCCGATAGTTGGGAAGCTTGACAATGGCGCTGAAAACAATCACTGGAGACGCAACCAATGCTTTCCACAGAAAATCTTCAAATTAATGTGGAACCTGTTATCACAACAGCGAAGTACAGTGGCAGCAGATTCACTCGCTGGCGAAGAGACACCAAAACACGAACAAGAACAGGGCCTGTCCTGTCGTACGTGACGGAAATGGTCACACAGCCCTGCACCTCGGGGTTTTAGACATTCAGGTAGCCATAGACGACAAACAAAGAACGGCAACAGCAAGGACCGCACGCTGCAATCCGCTGCAGGCTCCTGTTCAGGTGTGGCTGATGCCAAGTGAGTTTGCACAAGCTGGCAAAAGATGACGCAACTCAGTTGCCGCGTGAGATGGGCTGAACCTGTATCACTTATCAAGCCTGCAAGTGACGTTAGCTGCACTGGAGAGCGCCAGTGTTTAGGAAGATAGTGTGTGCCTGCAGCACATCCACAATTCTCACAGCGCAAACGAGAAGTTAAGACTTCTCAGGACATGGCATGACACTAACCTCATCAGCGCAATGTACATCCGTAGCCTTAGACACAGGCAGTCTGCCACATCACAAGGCATTCAATATGCTGGCACAACACTGCTGACTAGGCATGTGGCGGCAAACTTGGCGCATGCACTGACGTGCCAGAACCTCTTGTGGGGCCTGTTGCACTCTGCAGAAGGTCAGAACAATGGAAACACGAAACACTGTACCCACAGGTGAATGTCATTCACAATTCCCGTGGTCAAACTCGCAGTGCCTGAGCCTTCGTCACTAGCACCATCTGCGACGGCGAAAATGAAACCTTCCGCATGCTGGAAGCTAAGCGGTTCAAACGACTACGATTGCGGCATGCTTTTGGGGTTTTACGCAATCCAGCCAAGGCACCGAAAAGAGCCAAATACCAGAGCAGATTCTTGTCCTCAGCAAGTACTTGTAGTACCCCTCCATGTTCAGCAAGAAGGCAGGCCCGGGAAAAGTTGCGCCTGAACCTTGACGAACAGAAGCGGGCTGTCCTCAGAATGTCACAGAAATCATGAACTTAGTGGGCAGCCAGCCATGTTATGCAGTGAGCAGGCTTAAGCAGAAGAATCCTGCAGTGCAGCCTTTACCATGAAGCAGCAGCCTGGAAACCCTGAGGGCGTTGCATCCCATAAAGCCACCAGCAGAAGAGCAGCCAACACCGAACCTGCAAGATTCAATCCGGAGCGGAACAACAGTTCACGTACAACGTTGCAAACCCACTCACTCTCCTCATCCTCCAACTACATCTATGAAGGCCTCCCTGCAGGCCTCAGTGCTCCTTGTTAGTCAATCTTCTGAAATGGCGCTTTAGGCAACCCCGAAGAGTCGCTTGATGTCACATTCTTCTGGGATGTTGTGTGGGCGGCCCCAAAAAAGATCATGCAGAATCAGACTTCCAGGCTTGCGCGATGCGTCCCACTTGCCTGCAATGAACTTCACGCAGCGCTGCACCGATTTGAGAACTGGAGAAGAAGGCGTCGTGCATTGGACATACGCCTGGCGCACAGTGGCACAAACATTCCGGCCAAGTTACAACATGTACAGCTAACCCAAGCTTGCCCTGACTTATTACAAAATTCTAAGAGTGAAGTGAAAAAGCCTCGGCTGCAGCTTGTGCAGCACACATTCGTGCCTAGGCTGGACACATTGACGGACTCAAAATGAACACCATCAAGCCAGCTTCAAGGCAGCTCTGGGATGGATGCATTGAACTCATGTGGGAGCTCGTTGTACTCCCTGAAGGTCCAGTGGGCCTTGAGCAAAGAACTGCCGCATAGAAGCGGCGGCCGTTCTGGGGACAACTTGGACCCCGGCATAATCTGTCCATTGCCTTTGAAATGGCGATGCCCTCTGCGACCGAAACTCCTCTGCATGTCCTCACCATGGCTTCATCACGAGTGGCTGGGGCTTCTACGCATCTCAGCGTCCGGCTCATGAAGAAATACAAGGCAACGAAAATCAGAACTGGTGGGACGAGCACAAAGTTGGCCCTTCACAACATTGCATCAAAGATGTCAGAAGGGCATCTCATCTCACTCGTAAGTCGCGAGCATGCCCAGCAAGCGTAGATTCCGCGCCAGTGCCTGTGCCGTTGCTCACATCTGGTGACTTGCGAAGGAGTGTATAACCGTCTTATTGATTTCAGGTCATGTTCTAGTCGCAAGCAAGGGGGACTCCATGAGATTTCATCCAGGCAGAGTAATAAGGCTTGCAGACAAGCATCGACGACAGCTCAAGTCTTACCAATCATTTTCAAGTGGTCCGCAGACAGTTTTGGTCCAAGACGCATGATGTGTCTGTACAGAAGGTAGCAATCTAAGTGTCGCATCTCAGTCATCGTCCGCAGCTGCCACGTCAGCTGTCAGTGTGTTCATAGCATCTTCAGCCTCGGGGCGAACCATCTCAACACCGACATCATCTCCACCGTCACCATGAAGCTCCATTAGCTTTGTGATGTCGAACTTTGGCTTCTTCAGAATCTTCACTTTTCTTATGAGGCAATCCTTCAGAGGGAAAATGCCCTGCGTCTGCTTCTCAATCTCTTTTCCGATGGACTCCGGGATCAGCTTCTTCACAAGCTCGCGGAGCTGGACCTTGCTCGCTTCCTGTGTCATGATCTCAACCATCTTCCTGCAGACTGATAGAGTCTTAGAGGTTGGCTTAGGTTTTTAGGGATTTGATTCAGTGCGCGTGGTGAGGGGCTTGAATTTCAAGGGTGCTCGTTAGGATCAAGAATTCGTGGCTCAAACTGTACATGGTCCTTCTGATCTTCCTGATCTGAGCGGACTGCGCGTAGCAGTTGGCCTTCACTTGCTCCGGCCGACGTTTCGTGAAGGCTATGCAGAACATGCGCACGACATAGTTGTCCGTTGTCTTGATATCCGCATGGGCCTCAATGAGAGTCTGCCATTTCTTGATCAGGGAGCAGATCTTGTCCCGTGTCAGGTTCATGCCATGGAAGTCTGTGAGGCAACTCCTGCCCTGGACCTCTTCGATGCACAGCCTGATTTTCTTGGAGGCTTGGTCCTCATCGTTGTTCAGATCGGCAAGGTTCACCTTGGCGCATGTGCATATCCCACATAGCAAGAGTCTAGTGCGCCTAAGACAATTGAGAAGATTGCCCTTTTGGCGAGCCACTTCTAAGACACGGCCCTTGAGCTCTTCTGTTGCGATTTTGGTTCCCTGGGTGCGGGAGACCAAGGTCTTGCCGCATTGGCGAACGGAGAACATGCTGGGCGCCTTCAGGAAACGTGGCAAAACATTGCTTGCGTTCAAGCTGACGACCGTCCTTAATAAGTTAATGAGCATCCCGCCTTGATGTCATACCATTCCTTGCGCAGGAAGGGGTCGCCCGCCTTCTTCTTGCCTCCTTTCTTCCCTCCCTTGGTCAGTCTCTTGTTCTTTCCCACTGCCATACCGCACACGCTCTGGGTCCACCAGAGCAAACTGTTGCCTACCTTCTGTCGTCTGTAAGCCGACATGTCAGCACAAATAGATCATGTTGTGCAAGAAAATTCACCAACTGGGATTTTCAAATTCAGGCCTCAGGTCTGTTCAAGAAGTCACGTCTAACACGACCACGCTCGTCGAGCACCTCCAGGGCTGGATTCGAGGAGGATCGCAAGACTCCGCTGTGGCTCTTCTCAGCTTCGTGCTCCTTGCCACCGGAAAATCACAAGCCGAAGATTCCACAACACGGCTTTGGTGAAGACCTGGGAGCGTCCAGTGAACAAACCAAGTGCTGAAGGCTGCGTGACATGTTTCCGGCAACTATGTCAATCGTAGTCTCAGCTGGACTAGCAGCATTCTTTATAAAGCAGGCTGCCAAGCTGCGACCCCAAAGGAAAATGCACATGCGTTGTACAAGGCCGAACCAAGCATGCGCCGGAGGCAAGTGCATCTTGTAGAATCTTACAAAAGCCATAGGGTGGCGAAAAGGAAACAGCTACAAATCTAGAGTGCGAGCAAGCTTGAGTGGGTACCAGGTTACCAAGCCCTCAACATGATTTAACTTCCTGGGTCCAATGCCCTTTCAATTGTTGCAGCGGCGGATGTCTCCGCAGTTTTTGAAGTATCCGTGTCGACCGATTTTGATGAGAACCAAGCATTGCATCTATGCCTGGGCCATTGAACCGCGCACAGAAACTGCATGGGCGCCCAGAGCCGTGGTTGCTAGCCAACTCATTGATGCTCACTCATGCGTTGGCCTTTGTTGTTCCAACTAGGTCATTCACAGCCAAAGGCTTTCATGCGCGAACATGGTTCAACGAGCCGTTCCAGCAAAAGCCTCATCCTCCCGCGAATGTGGCAACCTGTCTGCCTTGAGGGTTGCTTGCAACACAACAGGCTCACCCCTAGGTCACTGTAGCGGCTCACGCACTTTGGAGGGGGCCAGAAACGGCTTGCTCAGTGAAAGAATTCCTCCTGCCAATGCCCTGGACCATTAAGATGCTGTATCCAGCTTCTAGCTTGCTGTGCAAACTGAAATGACCTAGGCATGCTAGGCCTCACCAACTGACTACAAAACACGAACGTCATTCTCAACTCTGTCTGCTGAAGCTGCATGAATGGATCTTCGCGCTTTGCCACGATCCACTCTCGAAAAACCACACGATGTGTTGACTCTTTGTCTGGCGTTTCGGATGTCGCAACTGTTCGCGCCAAATTATCTTGCCTGAGCCTGACGATTTGATTTGGCACCTTGCACGCTGAGGATGTGACAAGGCGACGTGGTATCCAGCATGGCAACGCTGCTGTGAACGCCTTCAGACATGATTCATACATGTTCGAAGCACAAGACGCTTCATTCCTGCAGCCCATTGAGTTGTTAGCATTGTGGTTGGACAGCCCGATCATGAAGTTGTCCTGACATGAAGTGCGAAATCAATCACCGTGAAGCACTCCGGTAAATGCAAATCCTGACATGCTTACCGTGCTTGTGCAATCAAAAAGCTTTTGAGAGAATTCAACTTCTATCAGCAACATTGCGAGATTGACCTCGCGCATGATGATATTGGCAATTTCCACAACTGTGAGCTCGTCTTGGACAATGCAGAATCGGCTCTCCTGGCATGAACCGTTCAAAAAGGAGAAAAGTAATCCAAGTCTACCAGCAACAACGGTTTTGTGGTCCTTCTGCTGCTGTACCAAGCGAGACACCACTTCCGACCATAGCATAGTCTCCAGACTTTCATCAGATGCAATGCCCAGCCGATCCTGACCAGAAACGCCACATCAACGCCACATCAACCCTGTGCTGATGCTATCAAATTTGTGCTATGCTCACATGGCCTTGTAGTAGGCACTGATGGATTGTGCGTCACGAATATCTTGGTAAACCGTGGCAACCTTATATGAAACTGCAAATCAAGAACGACCAGCTACCACCCCAAGGCATGCTCCAGGTATTCCCATGCACAGCATCCTGCGTGCAAGATGCATTCATTGCGCCATAGACGACAAAGAGCACTGTGCATACCAAGACCTGGGCTCGGAAGCCTGGTTCACTGCCTTGGCGCCTTGGTACTGTCTTAAGAGCCAAGTCCGAAGCTCCTGCGCGTCGAAATCCGAGGTCTCGGAAAGGCTTGGCATAGTAGATGGATATTGCCCTGCATGACCTTCACACTTACCACAATGCGAACTTCCTCAGAATTTGTGCTTAAGCTGCGTTTTGTGACATCCAATCAAAGGCTTGGGCTCCTCAGAGTCGCATGCCAGCAATGCCTCCCAATCTATGAGAAAAAGCCTGGGCTGTCAAAAGCCAAATCTTGAACAGACAAGCATTGACAAGCACTCCAACATTGGTGTGACAATCAGCGGCACGGCAAACAGCCCAAGCCTAAGCCCATCACAGAACGAAGGAGAAACCGATCGTAAAAGCCAGTGCCACAACATGCCTGAACGTATACCATGGGTTGGACCCGTTTGCGTTTTTTTGGCATTGCCAGCATGTTTCCAACTGCATGCAACTTGGCATCGCTAAAATCACCTTCCGGTTCAGATTCAATGATGCACTTGGGTCCATACGACAAGTGGATGGCAACAATACCACGAAACCCCTTGACCTCGGCTTGAGCGACGCGCAAATTGCATTGCATCACATACAATGATCGTAAACACGGACAGTTTGGCGCACTTTTCACAACTTCGCTAGACAAGGCCATGTTTCTGGTGGGAGGCATCGGGTGCCTGATGGTTTTCAACCAAGCGGCTTCAAAATACCTGTAGAAGCAGCAGAGGAAGCGCTCCAAATCGGGTTTGGCATCCCAACCTTGACCGGTGGTCACCACTGACAACCATGACAGCAGTCATATAACCTACAAACAACGACAATGATCCGGATCATGGAAAAGTAACGAATGCGCTGCTGCAAACTGGCACGAAACAGGCTGTATGGCCCAGGCGGTCTAATGTTGGTTCATGGGGCCTTCAGTCCAAGACTCAGTTTTGAAGCCACCAAACACTGCGTATTGAAATCAAGAACTTTGAGCAACGAACCCATCATTCAACCGTTCATACATGCGTTCTGCCTTGCTTTCGAAAAATAAGCTGACATTGTTGATATATCTGCTTTGCAAAAAACAATGTTGGCGAGATGATGATGAGTTACAAATTCCCAAACAACAGTGCGACATGTGCGCAACAATGCTGAGCCATGTTGCGGCGACGAAAATAATGTTTGTGGCATTCAGCATCAAGTTGAAAAAACATGCGTTTTCAAATGCCAACTTTGCATGAAACACAAACAACTCATAACACAAGCTCCCTGCGCCGTGACAGGGACGCCAAAACTAATGACTTGTATGGTACGCAATTGTTCCAAGGATGTATAAGAGGAATCTTACGAAAACATCGCACATGTAGATACTTATTTCTTTTATGCTTGTCACAATATTCAAAGAGATTTAGTCTCATTATCAAGATGCATTCTTCCCAAATATCATTTCAATCAAATTATGAAAAATCAATTTGAATATGCCAAACAAATATCAAACGGAAATATTTCATGTACATATATTGGTACTTGAACCTTCTTTTTGACTATGGGGCATGCCTTGATCGACTCACGGCTGCTGCAGCGGCAGGGGTAGGCAACAAGCCAGGGCTGGTTGGACGGGTTAAAGAATTTCTCCCACACCAAATCAAAGCCGCTGCTTTGCATGCATCAATAGCCACGCTGTCCATCAATCAAGGACAAACACAATTGCATGCATGGGAAAATTTTCCAAATGGGAAAATAATGCAACCCAGAATCAACATTGTTAACTTCAACAATTGGAAATTCAAGCATGTAGAAATAAGGTGTGCATCGGGTGTTCAAGTATTTCTCTTGTGCTGAACTTAGACTGGCGGCCAAACCTAAACTTCAAATGAGAAACAACACCTGCCACCACCTCGATACTCCTTCTTTCTTTCTCAGGCAAAAAAAATGTTTCCTTCTTCAGGGGCGGAGGGGCAACATATAAAGATCTGAAATATTCAACTCGAAATATTTCAAAATTTCCTTGCACTGATATTATTCATGCACTCACTCAATGCACAGCGTCGGACACAATTCGTTTTGCCATGTAGGAATCAATGACCTTCAGAGCTTTTGGTATGTGACATGCGAACTACCACATCAAAGGGACATCGGAAGGTGACGGTACATCCCGCACCCCCCCATTAGACGCGAACTTCCGCAATCCATTAAAGGGCGGGTGGGTGGGACAAAAACTTCGTGCTCACCTTTGAGCAACAACTTTGCACGTGGATCATGTCAACTTCTCATGCGCATGACATGTGGGAAAACACCTGCACCACAGAAACCATGTACATGAAATTTCATGACATGGAACTTGAAAAACAGCTGCCCTTGATTTTAATAGTTCCTTTTGAAATCACCTCCCCTTTGGAAAAATAATGCCTTGCACAGGCAAACTGCGATGGTGTCTCATTTTTCCTTCTTCCGGGGCGGACGGGCAACATATAAAGATCTGAAATATTCAACTCGAAATATTTCAAAATTTCCTTGCACTGATATTATTTTTATTCCCCAAAACACAAACCTCACATTTATATAGCTCATCCAAATAAATTCTTCCAAATATATTCGACTCTCTCAAATCGAATCCCACAAATAATGCAAGCACTGATTCATCACAGCTCTCTCATTTTGCTTCTTGCTCATGCAGGTACGACGGGGGTAGGTCCAAAGACTTAGATGCATGATGCCAAATGTAGGCTGATACCCATTGGCATCACCCACATTATGAACTCCTTCGAGCTCATACACACATCGTTTTTTTTTGGGAGGGTGGGTCAAAAAAATTTTCTTCGGCCTACCAGAGCCGAACTGATGGCGCGGCATGTAAAGATGACCTTCCATCCCCCAGAAATTGAAGCATGCACATGTGCAAAATCAAATACGCATTCATGCCCACATGAACTCAGCGTAAATTGACACATGCACACGTTCAAATTATTCACCCATTTTTTTTTGGAGAGCTACAAACATGGTGAGGTCGATGTGCACTCACATCAGTTGTGTAAAGGGAATAAAGAATTATCAGGTTTGAAGGAGTCCTTATGCCCCAAAACACAAACCTCACATTTA